TCACAGTCCTCATCCACAGTCGCCACTGAGTACCATCACAATTTAAGAAAATCATGCTGCGAGTCACTTGCTTTTTCCTACTAAGTCAAAAACATGTCATTTTTCTCCAGAGTAAAAGTAAATTATCTTTTTTTAACCAAAGAAACACAGCCTGGTGAAGGTGTATATATTTTTTGTTTGCCACGATATTTTTGTAGGTATAAAAATTCAACCCTTCCCTTCCATTTCTGCTTTCCCATTCTCCCCTCCTGCCATTTCCCCCATATTAGCACAGTAATATAGTTCCTTAGTGCAAGTTGCACGTTTAACTTTCTGGTGTTTAAATGACATGATAAGTACAGTCAAAGGTGGAAAACCTAGTCTCATTATGTAGAGGTATATTTATAAGTCTCATTGGGAGCTTTTGATTCAGAAGTAATGACATACACAGCATAGTACCTTTACTTTCTGGTATGCTAGTCTCCCTTGAATGTACATGGATGTGTGTGTATGTGTGTGTGTAGTGAAGAACTACATATATGTGTGTGTAACATATATGTGTGTAATGTTTCCTTTGCCATCCAGAAGCTTCTTAGTTTAATGTAGTCCCATTTGTTTATTTTGGCTTTAACTGCCTGTGCTTTTGGTGTCTTTTCTAGGAAGTCTTTGCCTACACCTATTTATGTTACTTACTTTAAAGGCAGAATTATCAGGGGGTTGGAGGAGGAAGAGCAAGACAGAAGAGATCTCCTATCTGTTGGTTCACTCTCCAAATGGCAGCAACAGCCAAGGATGGGCCGGGACAAAGCTAGGAGCAAGGAGCTTTCTCCAGGTCCCCGACGTGGGTGCAGGGACCCAAGTGCTTGGGCCAATATCCTTTGCTCTCCCAGGCACATTAGCAGGGAGCTGGATGAGAAGTGGAGCAGCCAGGACTCCCAACATGTCCCCAAATGAGATGCCAGCAGTTTCACCTGCTGTGCCACAATGCCAGGTCCCATTTTCTGCTTATGTTAAAAAGCAAGTTCTAAAAACTACTTATATGTTTTGTGTGCCTCTGGAGTGCCAGCCCTGCCTGGTACCTGACATCTCAAAGCTGGTAAAGAACGGTATTCCATTCATCCCCCTTGGAGAGGACGGCTCTTCCTGAAGTCTCAGCTGTCCCTTCAGCAGAGCCTGGCCCCATGTGCATTCTAGGACATGGCCATTCCTGTCAGAGTTCAGGGAACTAGACTTCCTTCCCTTAAGCCCCCATTTCTACAGTGGACTCAGTTCCTTCCCTAGTGATTCCTTGTGAAAAAATGCACACAATTCAAATGTGAGCTCTGCCAATTTCCACTGGTGACCTTGAGCATGGCACCTACCCACCATGTCCAGGCATTGCAGGTGCGTCGCCTCACTGTCCTTTGCTTCATACAATAATGAGTTTGACTTTGACGATAGCAGAATTTACTGCATGTGATTCCTTTGTTTAAGATTTATTTATTTTTAGTAGGAAGGCAGATTTACAGATAAAAGGAGAGACAGAGAAACTTTCCATCCTGGTTCTGGAAGTGCTGACTCATGGCACAGGAAGAGTATGTTTACAGTATTCTCAGTGACAGTGCTCAGACCATGTGTGTGGAGTCCTGCCGTGTTCCCTCATTGCAGTTAAAGCTGTTTCCAGACCGTGTCCACGCAGGTCTGCTGCATGGTCTGCATCTGAGCACGGGCTTTGTTTCAACTCATCTGAGCTTCTCTCTGCTCTTTCGCTATTCTTGCACCAAATGGGCCCCTGCTCTTACAAATACAAATGTATTTTTTTAAAGATTTATTTATTTATTGGAAAGTCAGATATAAAGAGAGGAGCAGAGATAGAGAGGAAGATCTTCTGTCCGATGATTCACTCCCCAAGTGAGCGCAATGGCCGATTCTGCGCCGATCCGAAGCCAGGATCCAGGAACTTCTTCCGGGTCTCCCACACAGGTGCAGCGTCCCAAGGCTTTAGGGCCATCCTCGACTGCTTTCCCAGGCCACAAGCAGGGAGCTGGATGGGAAGCGGGGCTGCCAGGATTAGAACCGGCGCCCATATGGGATCCGGGGGCTTTCAAGGTGAGGACCTTAGCCACTAGGCCATGCCGCCGGGCCCTACAAACATATTTCTAATAAGCAGATGCAGACGTCTGATTTCATTTGAGCTTCTGCCCTAAGTGTACCAAGCCTTTCCAATTAAAATCCATAATTTTATTATAAATTACATTTTTGTCTTTCCTCTGTCGCATTTTGGCTAATACATTAGTTTGTTTGGTGGCGGGAACCACTATGTGTTAGTAAACTCCAGTAGCTGTTAATTCCATCTCAGGAAACAAAGGGAATAATATGAAACATTCATTGTAAAGGAGAGGGCTGAGAGGCATTGGCTTAGAGAGCCAGGGAAAGCTGCCAAGACCCCGTGTGGGGAGAGATGGGTGGGGGCGGGTGAGAGTGGAAGGGCGAGCTCCACAGCAGCAGGTGGTTAGCACAGGGGCAAGTGCCCGATTCCCACCCCTTCTTGTGCACCCTGACCCCTCTCGGTGCAGCATTCCCACCCTCCGCTTTTACGTCTGCCGGACCTGTGTCTTCATTCTCAGAGAGAACCATAGCGTTTCCAAAGATCACTCTGACTCGCACCTGGTGGAGGAAGAGGGCCTGGGTTCCATGCCCATCCCCGAGTCCTCCGTCCATTTACTCAAGAAAGGGAGCATCCTGCTTTCAGGATTAGAAAGGAATATCTTCAAGCTCAGGGACCCCCGGGTGACCCTCTGGCCAGGGGAGGGAGCAAGGATGGCGCCAGACTGGAGCACAGTTCAGGGCCTCTTGGTCTGAGGCTTCCTTCCTGGTCACCGCACCCTCCATCTTTTAAGAGATCCCGTGGTAAGAAGCTTGCAGGTGGAAAGGGAGTGCGAGCCATTGGCGACTTATGCCTTTCAAACTTTTCAGCTCAAGTTTGTCTTTGAAAGATGCCTTCTCTTGTTGGTTTCTTTGGCCCATTGTGTGGTCTCAGTCTCCTAACCAAGTTCGTTGGTCACCATGGGTCACCCACAGTGCTGACTTGGCACTTTCTGTACAAGCTGCCAAAGCAAAGCTCAGTGTAGCCAGGGTCCTAGGCATTTAATATGCACAATTGAAATTGCATCCAGGGCCAGGCATAATGATCTACCAGCTAAAGTCCTCACCTTGAATGTGCTGGGATCCTATATAGGCGCCAGTTCTAATCCCGGCAGATCCACATCCCATCCAGCTCCCTGCTTGTGCCTGGGAAAGCAGTTGAGGAGAGCCCAATGGCTTGGGACCCTGCACCCGTGTGAAAGACCCAGAGGAAATCCCCTGGCTCCTGGCTTCGGATCAGCGCAGCACTGATCCGTATCAGTCACTTGGGGTGAGAATCATAAGATGGAAGATCTTCCTCTCTGTCTCTCCTCTTCTCTGTATATCTGACTTTGCAATAAAAATCTTTTAAAAAAAAAAAAAAAAGAAATTGCATCCAAAATAAAGTGAGGATCAAAGGTATTCCTTTAGTAAAATTAAAAAATTTTAAAACGTAGGTTATTTTTTTTTTCTGTTTAGGCTGTACAAGCCAGGTTTTTGCTTGCTTGTTTTAAAATGTATTTATTTGTATTGAAAAGGCAAATCAGATTTGCAGAGAGAAATATCTTCCATCCGCTAGTTCACTCCCCAAACAGCCACAGCGGCCAGAGCTGAGCTGATTCAAAGCCCGGAGCCTGGAGCTTCTTTTAGGTCTCCCACATGGGTGTAAGCCAACTTCCGTTCCCAGGCCTTAAGTAGGAAGCTGGATGGGGAGTGGAGCAGCTGGGACATGAACCAGAGTCTGTATGGGATCCAGGCACTTGCAAGGTGAGGATTTGCCATTGATCCGAGTTCCAGCCAGTTTTTCTCTCAGGCTCTTGCTGGTATCATTACTTGGTAATAAACTCAAATACTCGTTTTTTTTTTTTAAGATTAATTTATTTATTGGAAAGTCAGATATACAGAGAGGAGGAGAGACAGAGAGGAAGATCTTCTGTCTGATGATTCCTCCCCAAGTGAGCACAACGGCCCATGCTATGCCAGTCCAAAGCCAGGAGCCAGGAACCTCCTCCAGCTCTCCCACACGGGTGCAGGGTCTCAAAGCTTTGGGCCATCCTCGACTGCTTTCCCAGGCCACAAGCAGGGAGCTGGATGGGAAGTGGAGCTGCTGGGATTAGAACCAGCGCCCATATGGGATCCCGGGGTGTTCAAGGCGAGACCTTTAGCTGCTAAGCCACTTCGCCGGGCCCTAACTCAAGTACTCCTAACTATGTTTTGTTTAAAACAGTAACTTTTCTGTTTTCATTCTAATGATACATCGGGGTGATGATTCCATACATGTACACAACATAAAAAATCAGATCCGTTTAATTAGCATTCCTTCTCCTTAAACATTTTTCTTTAATTTGGGGTAGCTTAATTCTGAAAAATTGTGCAGACTTACAAAAAAAAAATGTTTCCAGCTTTTGGGGAGAAATAGGGACTTAAATGTAAAAGTAAACAAAAAGCAAAGGAAGTGTGAGAGGTAAACATTTGGCGTGGCAGTGAAGACCCCCCGGAGACCCTCATGTCCCACAGGGGAGTGTCTGGAGTTCTGGCTGCCGTGGTCCCAGGCAGTGTCCTGCCCATGCGTACCCACATAGCAGCAGGTGATGGCTCCAGCACCAGGGTCCCTGCCACCCACAACAGAGGCTCTGATTGAGTTCCCAAAAAAATGCTCTCGGGTTTGGCCTGACCCAGCCCTGGCCATGGCAGGCACTCAGGGAGTGAATCAGTAGACAGAAGATGCGTTCTGTCTCTCAAAACAACACCACCAGCAAGGGTCCTCACTGTCATGCGCAAGTGGAGATGACTGCTCTACTTGGACGGCAAGGATGGATAGCCATTTGTGGGCAGTCCTACCTGTACAGGTCACTCATAGAAACGTGTCTGTGCTGTACTTCTGTTCCATGATGAACGTCCCTGGTTCTGTCTTTCAGGCCCCGTGGGAGTTGGGCTGAATGAACTGAAACGGAAGCTGCTCATCAGCGACACCCAGCACTACGGCGTGACCGTCCCCCGTGAGTTGGTTCCTCCTTAACCTGTTGCTCTCTGCCTTGGCTAAGGATGGGTGCTGAGTGCTCACAGAGCCCGCAGGGCCCCAGCCCTGGGCAGCATGCCTGAGGAGGGCCCTGCTGCACAGAGAGGCGCCGGGGCTTGCTGCAGACCGCAGAGATGCTGGGCAGCACGGCTGCTCTCTCAGTTCCCCCGCCTCCCCGTGTGTGGTGTGTCCTAACACACGGATGACTTCAAGTTGCCGTTGACATGTTTTCTTGGTGCTGTAAGTCGTGCCGCCCTGTTTCCTGCAATCCATGCTGGTGTTTTCCAGGCTTTTTCACCAGCTTCAGGATCCGAGCAGCTAGACCGCTGAGAGCTGAAGGAGACTGCTTGTAGTAGACGCGTTTTCTCAATGACTTAGTATAGCTTCCAGCCGGCAGAAAGCGCTCAGCGGCCCTCTGCTTCAAATACGGCCGGCTCCTTTTCAGGACGCAGTTAAATCTGCATGAAAGCGGTTTCCTCAGGCATTCTTACAGATGAAATGTGATACTGGAAGCATTTTGATCTCCAGAAAGAAATGCCATTTGACTACTTAATATGTTGATGTTAGGAAAGCTGTCTGAAAGGCTAAATTGAAATGTTGGCTTTCATCAAGTGGTTTTAGTAGGTTTTTTTCTTAAATCATTTGTATATTGCCCTTAGGAATGTTCTCTCATTTGGGAAGAGTTCAACTTTATTTTTAAATTACAGTTTTCTGTTACCTCCAGTTACTTCTTGTTACTACATTTTCCAAAATTGTTATTCATAATCATTTTCAGCCATAAGTTATACAACTGCTGGTTTCCACCAGTAGAGATGAAAGTCCAGGAAAATGTGGAATTAGACAGTTTCCTTCCCTCCTTTAATTATTCATGTCTCTTACAAAAACTGTACTTGGCAATTAGAACGTTTTTACAAACCAGTTGTTACACTTACAGGTGAACTAGTTAGAAGAAACTTAGGAGTGCAAAAACAGGTTACAAAGGGGAAAAGGAATTTTGTCCTTTCCAACAGGGTACTCACTCCTCTGCTTGGGTTGTCTTAGCTTCCGCAGCTGTCCCACAGAGAGGTGGCCCTGGGGGCTACTTGTCCCCGGGGCAGAGAAAGGCTTCTTGGGCACTGCAGTGGCCCCACAGGTGCCCCTTGTGCTTGGAGTGAAGCCAGGCTCAGGGAAACCCATCTCAGGCTCCTCCTCCTGCCTACACCAGCAGCCCTTGCAAGGGACAGGCCATCTTTTGGGTCCCTTGATTAGGCATAAAAGCTCATTTCTTTGGAAGATTATAAATACCAAAAAGTTCAAAATGCAGCAGTGACCTGCCAGGATAGCCTTGCTGTTCCTGAAAGACGCTGGCCTCAATTTCTCCAGCTACTGAAATGATACTTGCCTTGTTAGTTAGTCTGGAAGGTGGCAAGTTCCAGAAAGAGTGTGGGGTTGGGATTTTCCAAGAAACCCACAGGGTTAATTCTTTTCCACCCTGCTTGCAGTTTGTCATATATTTGTTTGTTTAAGATGAATTACTTTGAAGGACAGAGTGATATGACAGAAGGGAAAGGAGAGGTGGAGGGAAAGAGATCTTCCATCTGCTGGTTCACTCCCCACGTGCCGTCAGCAGCCAAGGCTGGACCAGCAGAAGCCAGAAGCACTGTCTGGGACTTTCACAGGGGAAACGTGTGCCCAGTACTTGGGTTACCTTCTAGTACTTTCCCAGGCACATCAGCAAGGAGCTAGATCCAAAACAAAGCAACCAGAACCTGGATGGGCATTCTGAAATAAGGTTTCAGCGTCATAGGCAGTGGCTTAACCTACCGTGCACTCCACTTTTCCATTCTCTTAATTGTGCCTTTAAAAAAATTTCTTAATTGTAATGACATTTTCATCCATCCTTTTCGTGTTTGTGGTTGTATCTTTTGTACGTTCTCTGTACAACTCCTTAGCTTGCTCAAGGCCATGAAAACACTCTCTATTTGCCTTCAGAAGCTGCATAATTTCAGCTTTTACATTTATGTTGTGACCCATTTGAAGCTGCCTATTTTCTTATTAGCAGACAAGCCTTGCCCCTTGCCTCAGGGGATACATTCTGATGACTTACTGTTCATGCAGAGGTCAGAGTGGGTGATCTCTCAGAGAGCCTGGCTCCACTGGCCATCCATCTGCCTTCTGCTGTGCTCCAGGGCGGCAGCAGTGATCTCTCAGGGCTTGGGAAACCAGATGGAAGCCCAGGCTCTTGGCCTCCCCCGATTGTGGCAGGCCTCTGAAAAAGAGCCAACAGGTGGAAGAGCTAATTGAGTCTCTCCAAGAAAATTAAAATAAAGATAAAAAGTGTTTTTTTTTTAAATAGATAAGTTTATTTGGGTGCCAAAAATATTTGAAGCCCAAGCATAGTTGGGTTTTTTTCTTCATCATACCCACTTTCCAGGAATGTTTTAAAGACCCCTGTTGTGACTTGTGGAAGTTCTCTCAGAATGTTCTGTAGAATGCTGGCATTTCTCTCAGTGGGTCACCGACAGCTGATGCCGCACCATCAGTTCTGTGTCCGGTACCTCTGCTGTGTTGCTTGGGATCCACCTGGTCAACTCTGAGCCTTGAGGGCATGATTCAAACCTCCGCTCTGGTCTAAGGCTTGCCCTTCCTTCCTGCCTGTCTTCCTTGCTTCTGTCCTTTACTGCTTCCCAGGCCACAAGCAGGGAGCAGGAATGGGAACTGGAGCAGCAAGGACACAAATAGGCACCCTTGTGGATCCTGGTGCTTGCAGGGGGGGGGATTAGCCAATTGAGCCGTAGCACCAGACCCAGCTCAGTTGACATCTAACAGTCTCTGGATGCTAAATGCCATCTGAATCTCCCCAGTATCAGGTAGGGTTGATTCTTTGGTGATGGCAGAGAACATGACAGCACTTCCTTCTCCAGTTTCCTCCCTGCCATGCTCTAACCCACAAGGTCTTCCTCACCTTCCCTCACAGTTTTTTCACAAAGTAAGTGAGCATTTCTTGGGGAACATAGCTGAAGTTGCTCCCAGCAGGTCCTTGTGCCCATGTCCCCATTTGGGGCAGTGCCTTCCCATGCAGGTGGCTGCCCACCACAGTCCCACAGTCCACCTGCTTAGAGGTGGACTGTAGCAGATATGTTGCGTAGGCCCACTCAGCAGGAAAGGGCGGCTGCCAGCTGTCGTCAGTACAGACACTCCTGAGCTGGTTTGCAGCTTGGTTTTTATTCTGCTTCAGTCTTCTTCTCGGAGACGTAATCAGCCCCACTGCAGAAAGATTTGCAGATCCACAGGGGTCTAGGAAGATAGCGCTAGCACCTTTGCAAGGGAGGAGTGGACATGACGTGTGCACACGTGTGTGTCTCAGGAGAAAGGGCAGCAGATCTAGACCTGACCTTCAGCCTGCAGCTTCTGGTCCTGGCTACCCTGCTTCCAGTCCAGCTGCCTGCCTGTGTGCCTGGACAGGCAGCAGAAGTGGCCCGAGTGCTTAGCCTCTGCTGCTCACATAGAAGACCTGGGCTGTGTTTCTGACCCCTGACTTAAGCCTGCCCTAACCCGGGGGACTGTGGCCATTTGGGGGACTATCCAGGGATAGAAGGGTATGTGTGTCTGTCTGTCTTTCCCTTTTTGTCTGTAATTCTGCCTTTCAAAATGATAGCCTACAAAGCCAATGGAATTGTTAATCCATTTTCACAACCATGTCATTTTAGTATAACTTACAACAGCATAGTATATTTTCTTTGTGAATTTGCTTTTTAAAGGTTTAAAAATCCCGCTTAAAAAACTTATGTACCTATAATGTTTAGTTTTTCAGTATTTGCCTTAGGGATTTTCTAAACTCCTTTCCGATCAACCACAGATACTACAAGAGCAAAACGAAGCCAGGAGAGTGATGGCGTTGAGTACATTTTCATTTCCAAGCATTTGTTTGAGACAGACGTACAGAATAACAAGTACGTGGAATTTTCTAGAACTCTTGAACTTCTTTGTAAATACATGCCTGTGTACCCCGTTTTAGCCAACCGTGGGTTCCCCTTCACTTGAAATGCATTTTCCTTCTCACGGTATTCGAGAGTTACGTAAGAAATAAGGGTGAGTCCGCGAGCCATCGTGATCGCCTTCACTTGTACTTTTTTTTAATACCCTCGAGCTGCCATGTTGGAAGTGTCAGGATTCTCTCCCGACAGGAAGGCGTGCTAGCATCTGACAGTGACCTCTTTTCCAGGCCACTGATTGAGTCCTACTGTATAATTTAGACAGAATTCTATTTTAAAAGCTAACGAAGTACCAAGTGCTGTGTGCCTGGTGCCCCTGGCCCCGCCGCCCTCCCTCTCACACTGGTTCTTCCAAACCCGGGAGGCACAGTTCCATTCTCATTACTCGCCTGTGCCACTGCCTCTAGCTAGCTCGTAAGGCCTCCCCACTCCCCCATTTGGGTTTTCCATTTGCTGAAGCATGAATATTTTTGGGTATCAGACTCAAATGTGTGTTTTAGTGCACGATTGTGGGATTTTATTGAGACATCGAAATGCTTTTCTCGCCGTTGGCACAGTGGTTGTGTTTTTATAGCACATAATCGGCTGCCCTGGTTCCATTAGCCACCCCCAGCTCCCGCCACGCACTCCGGGGCCAGCGTGGCTCCTCGGCAGTGTGCAGTGAAACTTCAGGAGCCTCTGTGTGTGCCCAGTTCCCCGTTTTACTGAAGCAGGGGTGGATGGAAAACATTAGAATGCCTGAGACGAAAGTGCTTTTCTTCTGCGTTAAGTGTAATTCAAGCAAGTGTTACTGATTTGGAAATATGAAATTGAAGATTTTTTTTTAATAGACATTCTGGAGTACTTGGCTCTTTTTTGTTGTTGTTGTTGTTAAACAGTAAAAAAAAAATTACATGGTCAGCAAAAATATTCTTAACCTATGAATGATGTCTTGCCATCTACATTGTTATTTAAATTCACAAATGACTCCAAGGCATCTGTTGTTTCCTGCAGGTTCATTGAATATGGAGAATACAAAAACAACTACTATGGCACCAGTATAGATTCGGTGAGGTCTGTGCTTGCCAAGAACAAAGTTTGTTTGCTGGACGTTCAGCCCCATGTAAGTGGCCGCTGGCCTTATCCCTCGCCCCGACCTGCGTGCCCCGTGTGCCACAGGTGTTTGCTCTGTGTGTGCTCTGGGCTATCTGTGGCGTTTCCGGATCACAGAAGCCTGGAAATGTAGCTGGAAACATTTTGATGGCCAGAAACCCTATAACATCGCTAGAAAAGAGGAGTGAGGAGACCCAAGAATTGCATTTATAACTCTTGTTTGCATTCAGCTTTTACCAAGGGTGATGACTGTGATATTCCTGCCTGTCAATCTTATTTCTTTTGAAAGGTGTAACAACAGAGGGAGAGAATGAGAAAGGGGAGCCCCCATCCCCACTGGGGAAGTGGGGTTCACTGCCCCAGATGGGAGCAGCAGTCCGGGCTGACCCAGGCGGAAGCCAGCAATCAGAAGCTCCATCCCAGTCTCCCACAGAGGGGACAGGGATCCACCCCAGATGTCACGTCAGCCAGAAGCTGGATCAGAAGTGAAGCAGCAGGGCCCGGCGCAGTGGCGCAGTGGCGCAGTGGTTAAGGTCCTCGCCTCGCATGCCAGGGATCCCATATGGGCGCCGGTTCTAATCCTGGCAGCCCCGCTTCCCATCCAGCTCCCCGCCTGTGGCCCGGGAAGGCAGTCGAGGATGGCCCAAGGCCTTGGGACCCTGCACCCGCGTGGGAGACCTGGAAGAGGCTCCTGGCTTCGGATCGGCATAGCATCGGCCATTCTCTGTCTCTCCTCTCTGTATATCCGCCTTTTCAATAAAAAAATAATAAAATAAATCTTAAAAAAAAAAAAGAAATGAAGAGGCCGGGACTCCCAAGAAGGTGGCCTTTGTGGCACTCAGTGTCCCAGCTTGCTGAGCTACGGTGTGGGCCCTGCCGGGATATTTCCAAATCCAAGTTCAGTTGTCGAGCCTTTTTCTCCTGAGGAGGTTTTTGTTAAATGTAAAATGATCAAGGACCATCTGGATAATGATAATACCGAAGCCCTGGCTGAGCTTACCTGGAGAAGGAGTTTAAGGAATTCCCTGCTGAGAACAGGTAGACAGAAGGAAGCACTTGCAGTGCAGGTTCATGGTCACCTAGGAATGTAGGTGCTGAACACCTAGGAGGGGGGACCTGAGGGCTCCCAGCGGGAGGGAGTGCGGAGGACCGTGTGCCGATTAGTGCATCCTGTGCATTTCCTGAAATGTCCTACCGCGCCCTCTGTCTCTAGGGTAATGAAAAGGTGAGTTCATTTTTAGTTTTCTGACTGCTAGCTACCACAACATTTTGCTTAATGTTGAAGGAAGCAGAAATGCTGACGATGGAAAACCCCAGTCAGCTCCTGTTGCCTGTCATCCTCTTTCTGGTGCTCATCTCTGCAGTGAGCCTCCAGTCGGTTAGGGCCCTGTTTCCCAACTCTGCAAACGTGTCAGCAGCGTCATCTTCCTTCCTGAGTTAGTGTTCCCCCTTGCTCAGTGCCAGACTTTGTCACATAGGGAGTGAAGGAATTTTCTGCTTCGCGAGGAGAACCAGTAAAGCCTGACGTTCTAAGAAAAAGTACATTGTTCCTTCCCTGCAGACGGTGAAGCATTTAAGGACACTCGAATTCAAGCCGTATGTGATCTTTATAAAGCCCCCGTCTATAGAGCGACTCAGAGTGACAAGGAAAAATGCCAAGATCATTTCTAGCAGGGATGACCAAGCAGCTGCGAAGCCCTTCACGGTGAGGAGGGTCACGCCTTGTGGTCGGTGACTAGCTAGAGGAGAGGGGCCCCTGGCTGCTGTGCGAGGCAGTCCAGTGCTGCTGGGGGTGGCCAGAAGTGATGCTGTGGTCTGAACATCTATGCAGGATGCAGTGAACTCTTAACTGGGTCTGCCACATTAGTGACAGGCATCCCAAATGCTTGAACCATTACCTGCTGCTTCCCAGGAGGTTGGAGTCAGAAGTAGAGCTGAGGTCTGGCACCATGGCCTGGCAGGCCAAGCCTCTGCCTGCAGCACAAGCATCACATGCAGGCACCGGTTGAGGTCCTGGCTCTGATCCAGCTCCCTGTTAATGGCCTGGGAAGACAGCAGAGGAGGGTCCAAGTCTTTGGGGCCCTGCATCCATGTGGGAGACCAAGAAGCTCCTGTCTCCCATCTTCAGCCTGGCTCAGATCCAGCCATCCTAACCATTTGGGAAGTGAACTAGCAGGTGGAGGTTCTCTTTGTAACTCTTTAAAAAAGAACTGAAGTGGCACTGGGACTGAAACCCAGGCTCTGAGGTGTGGGACGAGTATGGACACAGCCCAGGCAATGTCTCAGACGGCTGTGCCTACCACCCACCCTGAGCTCTCCATAGTCAGTTGGCTCAACCATACATACGGATTCGATTTCCGTAGACCCAACATTTATGTGGAAGTCGGGCTAATTATTTTCAGACCAGACGTATTTTTAATGCTAAAAATAACAACTTCAGTTACTTTTAACTCACTTATAATCTAAATGAAAATTGTCATCACTTGTCTTTTTGTTTAATAACTTGTGTCAATAATCCTGTTTGGCACAGTAACAGAAAAGGCACCATTTGGGCTATAGGATGAATTAACTAATACTGCTAGTCCACAGTGACAGTTGCATTTCCTGGGAGTGTCCCTGGGAACAGAGACTGAGCTGTGTTAGTGACCAGCAGGGCTTTCCAGCGCAGGTAGGAGGACTCCTGCTACGCCCTGAGGAGGTGGAGGACATGCAGCAGCCACCCCCATGATGGCATCTAACTGGGCAAAGCAGCTGATGGTACCAGTTCCCTCCTGTGAATAGGCATCAGTGATATGGCTGGGAACTGCCTCAGCAGCCACAGTCCTCCCCTTGGTAGCTATTTTAAAACTGACAGATCCCTGTAATGTGCAATGAATTAGCAACTGCTACTCTTAAGTTACCAAGGGAGTTTTGACTTAGGAGCATTGGGGTTGCAAGCCCATCAGAGAGAGAGGAGTTGTGGTTGCAGAGGGCAGTGCCTACTTCTGGCTGAGATCGCACACTGGGCACTGACCACAGCTGCAAGTGGGCAAACCGGTTAGAGAGGGTCTGTGGAGGCCAGATGATGTCAGGACCTGGGTAACCAATTTCTTTTTCCCCTAATACTTCTTTTTGTAGGAAGAAGACTTTCAAGAAATGATTAAATCAGCACAGATAATGGAAAGTCAATATGGCCATCTTTTTGACAAAATTATAGTAAATGATGATCTCACCACGGCATTTAATGAGCTGAAAACAACTTTTGACAAATTAGAGACAGATACCCATTGGGTCCCAGTGAGCTGGCTGCATTCATAACTAGGAGGAAACTCCAGCATCATCTTGTCTTTTTGATTGAGTGCATGATTACATTAGTTGCCGTTTTGGTGGTGGGGTTTTTTTTTTCCGTCGGTGTCACTGTCACAGCTGGTTTTTTGTGTATGTCTCTTACAGCCTTATTTGAAACACAATGAGTGAATTTAGGATCCAGAATCAAAATTTGCACAGTACTGTTTTTCACGCACAATGTGGAGCCTCCTTGTCATCCTTAGTAGAAAAATCCAGTGGGAGGCTGGATTTTTTTTTTCCCTAAAGAACTGCAGCTGGAGACTTGGGGTACGCTGGTGTCCGGCGCGTCTTCCCATCCCCAAGGTGGGCCCGACCATCCAAGCCTGCCTGTTAGCCACAGACGCCTTAACGAGTGGCCTTGGCACTGCTCCACCCAGCCGGGAGCACTCGGCTGCTTCCCATGTGGCACAAAATAGATGGGTAGAGCTGACCACGAGGCAGATGGCACACCTGGCCCTGGCGTTTACAGGGCTGCGTTTTAAAGATCCTTCTTGAAGGATCCTTCTTGAACGTTGACCTTAAGTAACTGCCAAGTGACAGCTTGAGAAGTCCTTAGGGGCACATGGCTGCAAATATTTAATAAGGGAAAATGCGTTTTGTTTTTTTTTTTTAATCATGAGATGTGCAACTAGCAACCCTCCCTTCAGGCATTCATTGTAAGAAGAACAATAATACGTTGGGGCAGTAGATGATGACAGTTTTTATCTCTAACTCCTCACGGAGACCCCTTCTGGGGCCACCCAAACCGTCAGTTGTGTTTGAAGTGGCTTTAGACTTTCCCAGTGTATCTGACAGCCTGATCCCCACCCCGAAGCCCGTGTCGTGACTCAAGAGGATGCCATCATTGTGTAGGTCTGTGCGATGAGTGATGCCCCAAACATGTCAATTTCATTAGGATGTGCTTTAGAAAATTGTTGACGTTTGTGTTAACTTTTTTTTTTATCAGCAAAACAGCTGTTCATGCCAGCCAGAGCTATTGTTAGAGATCCAGGAGAGACGCTTAATGAGCTGAACATTGGGTGGGGTCGTTCCTTTCCCTTCACTACTGCTGAGCTGCAAGTGAATGGTACCATTCAGCCTGTTGGAAATCCGCACATTCTAACGACAGGTTAGAATGTGTGTTGCATCTGTGAGTTTCATACAGAAAGAAATTATTTTTTGTTGATCTATAAAGAGAGTTTAAATGTCATGTTTAAAGAAAAATAGAATGTAGCTAAATTTTATATATTTATGAACTGTTTGAAAGGCATATTTTTTTAATGATCAGATGAGGCTATTCATAAAATAAATTGATTATATGTAAAGATGTCATAATTTAAGATAGTTTTCTAATTGGAGGTCAACATTCCATGTAAATACTGACATAGCCACAAGTGCACTCTACTTGGTCGAATCAGCCACTGGGCATCTTCAGGGAGAAGAAGCACATTTGGAGACGTGAGACGCAGTCACCAATCACCCAGTGTCATTTCACATCAGCCGAGTTGTGAGTTCTGAGTTTCTCAGTGGCCAGATCTGATTTTTGAAAACCTGTCGTCCTGTGGCTGGTCTGAGAAGAGTACCAGTCTCGGTTCGGGTAGAGCGTTGGATTTGTGAAACACTAACGAGGATGTCCTCTAGTGGAAGACCTCTGCTACAAAGAATGAAGGCAATGTCAGCAGTCCTCTGAGGCACGCAGGCACAGGAGGGCTGAGTCTGCCCTCTGCAGCTGCGCTGAGGTCCTTTGTGAGTCCGTGTGCCCTGGCTCTTTGTTTCAAACCAGTTTCAGACTGGAAGCCCTGCCCTTCTCGAGAAAGCGGGTAGAGATGGTGACGGCGATGAGGCAGTGGCAATCGGGTGTTATAAAAATGTAACTGTCCTCAACTTTCTCCCTTCTTAGACCAGATCTAAAGTGGTATTTTCTTAAGTAATAGAAAGAAAGCACTTTGGAGAAATCAGGTAGTGTAATAGACACTGCTTCCTAAATGGTTTCCTGTGGCCATCTTCCCGGCTACACAGATTTCATTCCAATCTAATGGACAGGGCTAGCTCAGAGGGCGGGCCAGGAACCACTCATACACAAAGGCCTCCGATTCTGTGCCTTCCTCCTCCACAAATACACACTGAGATGAGCAGCGTCCCCTTGTCCTGGCAGCCTCGCCAGCCACCATCGGAGGAAAGAGGTATATTGACTTGGGCAAGCCCTGCATCGAACATTCAAACCAAGAAGGAAATTCTGTGCTCCCATGAATGCTAAACCAGAGTTGGTGAGAAACAAATGGAAAAGGTGACGTTGGCATTCTGTTTTTCAACCTGGATTTGCCTGATCACGATGGCAGCTCTCCCTGAGAGTTTCCGAGGCCGACGTTCCAGGGACCAGATGATGACAGAGTGTCTAAAAGCGGAATCGTTCACAATGGACAACGACGATAAGCCTGTTGGGGTTACAGGCATGCCATCCAAGTCTTCCCAAAGACCTTAGTACTTCCTTTCTTTCTGAGAAGCAAGAATGTATAATTCAATGTAATGGAAAACCTTACATCTTAATAAAATTGTGTCTTCAATGGATGTACATACTTGATTGGTTTTACACTTGTCACCGCATTCCATCATGCTGTGAATTTGTGCTAGCACACCATTCACCCCGGAGAGATCAAATCACTGCTCTCCCACTCCTAGACAAAGTGACCTATCGAAGTCACCACGATGAACACTGAATTCGCCTTTTTGTTTGTAGTTGCTAGAGACGCGGAGCTTTTACTCTCCCCACCACAGTGCAGCAATGGGGCACGGGGAAAACACACTGGGATGCGTGCTCCAGGACCAGCCCTGAGGGGGACACCCTTCCACCTTCTGTTCCTGCAGGGCTCAGTGCCTAGTGCAGCAGGTGATGGCCCAAGTCCGTGGGTCCCTGTCTTGCACATGGGAGACTCAGATGACGTCCCTGCCTCCTGGTTCAGATTTACACCTGCTCCAGCTGCTCTGGGCATTTGATGAGTGAACCCGTGGGTGGAATGTCTCTGTCTGTGTCTGGCTCTGTTTTCAGATATAAACCCTGGGATAGAAGGAGTTGGCCCTTGTGAACCCCTGTGTTATGACTATCACAACCATTTTATCACATCATGTAAAGTTAGCTGTGTACATATTCCTCAGCACCCTTCAGAAACAATTGCCCTGCTGGTAAGTTTATGGCAGATTTCCTAGTAAAGAGTTTCTTTTCTACAAAACAAATCCTAGGGCCAGTGCTCTGGCATAGCAGATAGAGCTGCCATCTCAACACCAGCATCCCTTATGGGCATTGGTTTGATACCTGGCTGCTCCATTTCCAGTCTGCCTACCTACTAAAGTGTCTGGGAAAGCAGTGGGAGAGAGCCTGAGTGCTTGCACCCTACACCCACATGGGAGGTCTGGAAGAAGCTCCTGACCCCTGGCCCAACCTGGGTCATTACAACCATTTGAGGAGTGAACCTGCGGATGGAAGATTCTCCCTCTCGTCTCCCTCCCTCTCTCTTCCTCCGTTCCTCCATCTCCTCTTCCTCTCTTCTCTCTTCTTCTCTCCCCATCTCTTCTATCTGTGTGTCACTGAGACTTTCAGGTAGTTGAGATTAAATACTCTTTTTTTTTTTTTTAATTTTTTCTTTTGCTGCAAGAGAAGGGGCAGCTGGGCCGAGCTGGGGCGCACAGTGCTGGCCCTCCCTGCAAGGGGCCTTCTGGGGCAAACTAGCAGGTCAGGGGTCTCTCTCTTACTCCGTCTTTCAAGGATAAAAGCCAAACTCGGGGCACACTACCACTGCATGTTACGCAGCACAGTCTGCTACAGAGCCCGTGGGTACACCTCACTCGGTCTGCCTGCGCCTTTGGAGGCTTGCACAGGTGAAGTTTGGGGACGCACCCTGGCAGGCCTGTGATGCACCTGTTTGTCCTACTGGGAACCAGGGTGATGTGCATCCACTCGAACAGGACAGTCCCAAACCAGTCCTGCTTCTCTTGCTCACAACCGGTCGGGACCACAAGGAGAGGACCAAGCCCCAGTGAGTGCTTAAATATACATTTAAAGAGAGAAAGTCCTTAAGATAGGAAGACCAGATCTGTCGCCTACAAACCTAGATAATATACATTCATGCATTAAGGGATTTCAGGGGCCCGGCACCGTGGCCTAACAGCTAAAGTCCTTGCCTTGAACGTGTCACGATCCCATATGGGTGCAGCCCCAATTCTTGTCTAGATCCCTGCTTGTGGCCTGGGGAAGTAGTCGAAAACGGCCCAAAGCCTTGGGACCCTGCACCCACATGGGAGACCTAGAGGAAATTCCTGGCTCTTGGCTTCAGATCGGTGCAGCACCGGCTGTCGTGATCATTTGGGAAATGAGTAAATCATCGGACGGAAGATCTTCCTCTCTGTCTCTCCTCTCTCTATATCTCTGACTTTGCAATAAAAAAAAAAAATAAATCTTACAAAAAGATTTCAGAAACATAAAAAATTAAACCAATAGCTTCCAAGAACCAAAGTGTTTCAATAATAAGATTGGTAACAAAATAGGAGGCAGATTCATTCCAGCAAACAAAGCAGAGGGCATACTAGTAATTCCAAGAAGGAATTTAGTGTCCATTAATTGGGCCAGAAAGTCACTGTTTTTGCAATCAGTGGTGCGATCCATGAAAGAGCACCGAAGACAGAAAGGAAAAATTGGGGAACATAATCGGCAAAGCCACATTATTTGGTAATCTGTAAAACTCTTAGACTGTCAAGAAAATGGATGCAAAGGGTCTGCAAAACGTAGTTCCTCAGGATGATGACCTTACGGATTGAGAAGAATCATTTGTCCTGAAAGCTCAAATTATACCCTACTGAGCATTTCGATTTTTTAAATTTTCATCCCCACGCATCTGAAAAGCAGAGAGCTTCTAGCCACTAATTCATGACCCCCCAATTCTTGCAACAGCCAGGGCTGGGTCAAGGTGAAGCCAGGGACTGGAACTCCACCCGGTTCTACCACACATGTGACAGGACCCCGAGTACTTGGGCATTCACCCCCTGCCTCCCTGAGGGGTGCAAGAGCAGGAAGCTGGAGCCTGGAGCAGAGCAGGAAGCCGGAGCCTGGAGCAGAGCAGGAAGCTGGAGCCTGGAGCAGAGCTGGGACTCAAAGCCAGGCACTCTGATATGGGATGTGGCTGATCCAAACTCCTGGCCCCAGGGAGCATTTCAAGGCACAGCCCTAAATAAAGTAGGTTACAGCCAGAACCTCATAAAATTCCAAAATACTTTAAATACTTTATACTTGATAGTCACAGTCTGAGGACCAGAAAGGATAACGAATAACTGCCCCGCCCCCAGATTAAAACCTAAATCTTTTGGTGTTAAAACAGCCTGATGATTGAAGAGATTAAAATGGAATTGTAAACTAACCAGAAATGACAATGACATTATTAGAAGTTTCAGAGCAGGAATAAAATTGAGTTCAGGAATGTTTGTCTCTCTGATTTTTTTTTTCCTGAGAAATCAATAAATGAAAAAATTGCTCCAGCGACTTGGGAGGAACAGTAACCTGAGTGGTACTTTGGCAAGACTAACCTATACACTGAATTTTCCAGAAATGCATTAACATGTAAATCAAAGGACAACTGCCCTTCATTTTTTTTCAGAACTTCACCAAGAAGGCCTTACCATTTTGAAACTATAGGCTTTGCACAGGCCTTCAGTTGGGCTACGGAGGGAACCTCGGGTGAAGTAGGGCAGGGCTAAATAATTGGCATTAATATAGAGCTGAATTAAATTTTTTCTAAGATGTATTTATTTTTATTGGAAAGTCAGATTTACAGAGAGAAGGATCTCCATCTGTTGATTCACTCCCCAAGTTGCCACAGCGGCTGGAACTGAGCTGATATGAAGCCAGAAGCTTCTCCCTGGTCTCCAACATAGCTTCAGGGGCACAACGCTTTGCACTGTCCTCCTCCGCTTTCCCAGGCCACAAACAGGGAGCTGGAAGAAAAGTGGAGCAGCCGAGATACGAAGCAGCACCCCTATGAGATCCTGGTGCATGCAAGGCAAGGAGTTTAGCCACTAGGCCCCAATATAGTTCTGAATTATATGAAAAGCTCGAGCTGGGACAGAAGTTTGGGCCCACATTGGATTGCCTTAGGTTTGATGTCAGGGTCTGGCTTCTGTCCCACTTTCCTGCTAAGGCCTTTTCTTGGACATGGCAGTGATGGCTCAAGTGGCCATGTCTGCGCTCCACAGGCAGGCCTGGATTGAGCTAACAGTTCCTGGCCTAGTCCCAGTCCAGTTCCAATCATTGCAGACACTGGGGGCAGGGTAAACCAACACACAGAGCATTTCTCTGCCTCTGCTTCTGTCTGCAATCTGAATAATTTGTGGAAAGATGATTTTCTTAACTAGATCAGGGTCTAGCCCTGCCAAGGTAACTGCAGGATGTGGAATTCAATAAACCTATAACAGGCTAATTTAATTTTTTTAATTTGTTTATTTTTTATTGGAAAGGCGGATATACAGAGAGGAGGAGAGGCAGAGAGGAAGATCTTCTGTCTGAAGGTTCACTCCCCAAGTGGCCGCAGTGGCTGGAGCTGAGCCACTCCGAAGCCAGGAACCAGGAACCTCTTCCAGGTCTCCCACATGGGTGCAGGGTCCCAAAGCCTTGGGCCATCCTTGACTACATTCCCAGGCCAGAGGCAGGGAACTGGAAGGGAAGTGGAGCTGCCGGGATTAGAATTGGCGCCCATATGGGATCCCGGTGCGTTCAAGGTGAGGACTTTAATCACTATGGTATTGCACTGGGCCCAACAGGCTAATTTCTGTATTGATAGTTTGGTATGAGCTGTCAGTGATGTCAATATCCATATGCCCCTTTGCTGAAATAAATAAATAAATAGGTAGGTAGATAGATAAATAGATAAACAAACGATAAAATGGTTCTGCCCCTGAGGATAATGCAAGCCTGTTTGTGTTGAGGTGTGGTGGGTAGAGCTGTTGCCCGTGATGCCAACATTCCTGTGGTGGCACCGGTTCAAGTCCCAGTTGCTCCACTCTTAAATCAGCTCCCTACTAATGCACTTAGGAAAGCAACTGCAGGCTGCCCAGTGCTTGGGCCTTTGTACCACACAGTGGAGACCCAGATGGAGTTCCATGCTCCTGACTGTAGCTTGATGCATCCCTGGCAATTGCAGCCTTTTGAGAAATTAACCAGCAGATGGAAAGATGGAAGACTCATATTAATTCTCTCTCTGCGTGTATGTGTACCTACCTCCCCCCACCCCTGTTTAACTCTGCCTTTAAAACAAATAATCTAAAAAAGAAGAGCTTGGTGCCAGGATCTCTTAAGGATCAGAGAAGGGGCTGGTGTTGTGGTGCAGTACCACTGCCTGAAATACCTGTTGGAGTGACTTGTAATCCAGCTTCCTGCCAATGCACCTGGGAAAGGAGCAGGTGATGGCTGAGACTTGGGCCCCTTCCACCCATGTGGGAGACTCAAGTGACATCAGTCCGGTTTAGTTGCAGCTGTTGACGGCATCTGGAGAGAGATGTGAGAAAAGGGAGGTTCGTTGGCACTGTGGCGGGGTAAGCCACAGTGGTGGAGGGAAGAAGAGTGTTCAAGTGGTCTTCATTTTGTCCATAGGTTAGGAATAATGAGTTCTCAGTTGTCTAATTTTTACACAGTGGCTTTTGTATGTGTGTCTCATATTCCCTAACTGGCATAGAATAGCATTTGCGTATTGCATTGCCTGGAATTCCTTGAGTCTTTATAGACAAGACACACACGCACACCTCCCTTGAGTTCATCCGAGGGGCAGAGAGATCTTCCAGGTGCTGAATAGTCCCCATATGCCAGGAATGACCTAGGGAGGGGCCAGGCTAAAGCCGGGAGCTGGGAACTCAGTCAAGGTGTTCCGTGTCATTGGTAGAGACCCAAGTACTTGCACCACCCATTACTCCCTCCCATGGTGTGCATTGCTAGGAAGCTGGGATCAGGAGCAGGGTCAGGATTCAGACCCAGGCACTCGGACATAACGTGGTAACTTAGCTGCAACATCAGACACCCAGTCCTCCTTCAGGCTTCAGTGTCAACTCAAGATGCTCAAACCAACCTGGCCTCAGTCAAAAGGCAGTTCGCTTTTGTATGTGGGTAGCACAGAGCAGCACTGGCTGGAGATGATGTTTGGTGTCGGGACTCCGGCAACATTCTTGAGATTTGGCTCTGTGTGTCTCGAGGCATAGGTCTTGGACTGACTCCCTGGCTTCTTTCCATGGGCTAACTTCACTCTGAGACAGGGTCTCAAATTGGGGTATAAGCTAGCTATGCTAGGAACTCAGTTAGGTAACCAGAGCAACTCGTCACAGAGTCCCGACATGGATTCCTGCTGCTGGCTGGATCTGCGTAGTGCTGTGCTCCCTCCCTGGGCCCAGCCACCTCCAGGGCAGCAAACACAGGCATTTCTGAGAAACCTTGTTAAAACCTCTACTCTGGGTCCCACCTCAGAGTGTCTGCATTATGGGACGAGGCCTTGCTTGCTAGCCACATTCCCACCAGGGCTGGGGTCACGCACCAAGGGGCACAGCCTTGAAGGAATGCCTGCTACACCACTCACTGCTCTCCAGGTCCAGTCTCAGAGACAACCATTGGCTACCTGACAACATGAGGCTGGACAAGCGTGAAGTTCCCCACACCAAGTGGCAGCCCTGTCCAGGTAGATAGAAGTGAACCAAGTGAGAAGTATGGATGAACAGAGCACGGAAGTCAGGACTCGGGATGTGCCAAGGTGGTTCCCGTACCAATTTCAGCTTTGGAAGGATGCTGGCAGCATAGGGAGGAGAGAGGTTGGAGAGCAAGTTTCTGCTCTCCTGTCTGGATATTAAATTTGGACATTCCTATCAACGATCTTCCATGTTGTCATTGTATTTTGCCTTTACACTCATCAAATTAATGTACCTGCTTGAAATAAAACAGACTAGTTAGAAGAGCTTCTGGAAGTTCTCACAGCCTTCTGCACACACACATAGCCCTCTGCTTGGTTATCACTACATTTA